CTAGGGGGTCCCGAAAGCCAATGCAATGGGTGGACTGTGGCTTACGTGCTATGATTTCAGCGAATGGCGATCCTTTTTGCACTACGCTACACCGGTCGACTTGAGGCTCTCATCGACATCATTTCAGAGCCTCAAGATCTCCGCTTTTGTCATTGTCATCTGGATTTTATGGGAATGAACGTGTAGGGTGCCCGTGATTTGCATGGTGGCTGATATTTTGCAGAGGAATATTCGAAGATTGTCGTTGTTGACGTTAACTGACGCCCATTCACGTTAGACGACAGTTTTGGCGTTCGTCAGAATTACGTTTGAGATGCTGGAGATGGTAGGGAATGTTAGAAGCTGAAGAAGGTTCTGACATCAGTTTTTGAGGTTCGAGATGGTGTAGACCTAGAGGTAGAGGTAGACATCCAGCCTGGACTACAGGCCAGCTTGAACACAGTTAAAGACGGAAGACTGTATACATTGCGGGACAGAGAGAGCCTCAAGTATTGGTTCAAACTGTGGCAGACTGTGTACATCATGGCAATTACTTCTGCAAGTTGAGGATTGATCTTCAATACATCCGTTTTATGCAGTCGTTGCAGGAAACGACGGTCGGGAGGCGGGATGGAATACAGTCTTCAAAATCGAAACTCGACTCAAATGCCTCAATGGAGTTTCTGCTAGAAGCCATCAAATCTCCATGTCAAACGTCCTGGAATCCGAGCAGCTACCCTCGAGTCACAATCGACAAGTTCCCGAGCGAAATTCTCTGCTGTTAAGCGTTTCGATCATACCCTAGACCCGATTAGGTGCTCTACAAATGTGTAGAATGATCCAGTCTGGCATCGGATTTTTTACCCAGTGCCCAAAGGTTGAGGTACACCTAAGTCATCATTCTGCGATGTCTTCTGATGCTGAAGCACCGACTCTTCACCACTTGAAGCAGTATATCTCAAGATGGTTCAGCCTGTTCAACCTACACCACTAGAAAATAGAAGCAGGTAGGCATCTGCCGACTTTCAACTTTGGGAAGAGCTGGTCCACAGCTTCGTGCAACCCCAAAAACCTTTAATCTGTTATCACCGGCGTCGATCCTTGCCCGTACGGATAGTTCACCATATATGTCGTAAGGGGGTTTAGGACCTGAGCACTATAGCTTGTATAAGTGCCGTGTGGAATGCTCATCAATCAGCATTCAGGACCGCCGCTTGGGAGTCTTTCACGGTTTCGGGCTTGACGTGTCAAATTCGCCACAACACCATGATATAACGAGATTCCTACCCAATTTCAGGTGATGATGGGTGACACAAGTTTGATAGGGTGTAAACAAACTTACAATTAGCATAGAGGTGCATTGACGGCAAGTGCTCGAGGGCTCTGGTTGCTTCAATGCCTATAAAGTCTCCAGACTCTTACCTCATCAACCTACCTAGAGGTAGGTACCTCTACCATCAACCCACCTCCCCGCCCCAGTTCCCTATTTTCCCAGATGCTCATCACCACTCAACGCCGTCGTTCCCAACGGCCTCATAGCCCCCCCGCCCTTGATTACTCTCCAGAGGTTGAAGCCACTCTGACGCCAAGACCCAGTTCGAGCCACCCCATCTCTCCATCTCTCCACCACCTCGTCTGCCTCGATTCTCTCCAACCCGCATGAACCTCCCTCCTTCTCCCCACTCGAGGAGGAGGACCCCAAGTCCCAAGATGTCCAAGTGATCAATCACGAGTCCAAGCACGAGGATGTGTCGAGATATCGAAGAAAGCACATGACACAGCCCCGCACCCAGTCAGTCCTCCGGATAAGCAGTTCCACCCCACGTCAGGGACTGATGAGGGGAAAGTCACGAGCCTGGACACTGTTGACCTCACCTGGCGATTGTACCTCTAGCTCAAGGGCCCAAGATCTCGTCCGCGTCCGCGCCCTGCGTCTTGCGGGAACCGCTTCGGTGATGAGGTGCATGATCTGAAGCCCTGATAGACAGACCAAGGGAGATGAGGGTGTGTAGATGGCGGGTTATATGTCTTTTTTGGACGGAAGTGAGGCGGTTGAATGGTTGTCTATCAAATTTCTCCGTTTCGGACCTGAGCTTGCAGATGGATTAGCTGTTGCCGCTCCAAACGAAGCTACATACTTGGAAGCAGCCGGTCTTTTTACGTTATGGTGTAATACTCGCGGTGGTTGTTTGGATGACGATGGAACCGGAACGGATCGCAAGTCTCACTTCTCTCTTAGTTCCCGGGTGTCATCCCAATATCGTGCCCTCCATTATGGCGGTTAGGCAGGTAGGTTCGGCTCTCAAACTGTTGCACCTGTTGACGGCGAACTGAATAACTGGACAAGAAGAACTCCTGGCCTCAAAATGGCACTAGAACCAAACATGTCGCAGGGTGACATCCGCCATCCACCAAATCCTCCACCCATTACACCAACCAAGATGCGCCTTCCACACATATGCTCGTACATCAAAACGTGTGCCTCGAACGTGCAGTGCTTGTGTTTAGGTGTGGCACACCCCGCATTAGCGCCTTCCGGACACAGTAAGATGGTGTGTTGCACGGAGATAACAGAAAAACCACCAGTAGTGGGGATTTCAATTTCGAGGGGGTCTAGTTGCCTGTGGCGGCTGCCGTGGCTGCTTCCAGTTGTCGCTGCGGCTGCTGGTCCAGGTTGGTTAATTATCCTTGATATAACAGATTTTTTTTGTTGTGAGGCAGGATTGTTGTGAGCATGTGTGGTGTGTGCGGGACAGACAATGTCCGCTTTGATGATATGATACACGCCGGAACATTGGCGACATCCGGAAGACAGTGGTAAGCATGAAAGGGTTATGTCCGTCCATCAGCGTTACATGAAGGTGTGGTGTGAGCCATCAAGGTAGATAAGACCCTTCTACCTACACATGACTTATTCTCCGCTCACTATGCCTCTCGCTAGAGCTCGTGAGTGACGGCGGGAGTGAGGGATGGCACGGTATGAGCCGAATTGGACCTTTTGGTGCTGCCGTATCTGCCATCCCGGATACGGAGACGGGCCAAACAGGATGAACGAGATGAGATGAGATTGAAGAGATTGGGGGATGGATGGACCGGGACCCTTTGCTGTCCAGTTCAAGAGGCGAGTGCTACCGACTGACGGAAGAAATTGATCGTAGACCTTGGTGGCTGTTCAGCGTTTGGTCTTGTCCACGCAAGAAAAGGAAGTGTCAAGCAAGGCCAAGAGAGATATTTTGCCGTTGACAGCACAGACGATTCACGACTCCATCGCAGCTTCTGGGGTTCTGGATATTTCCACCCTACGCTACCCCATCAACCTGGCCCTGACCGGCTCATTGAGCATGGTTACACAACTTGACGACCGCAACCCTGTGTAAACCCCCCTCATCCACTTGGCAGCGACCGGTCAAAGGCCATGAACGCAGGTCAGGTAGCAGGAGACCCAAAAGCTGCCAAATTTCCCCCGTCTCCCAAGACCTAGACGACTTAAGGCGAATTGCGCCTTGTTCATGCATGGGCATATAGACTATGGCCCAGACTGCCATACGAAGGAGACCATACGGAGAAGTTGAACGCAAGTTGGCGATGTATTGACTCCAATGATCTGATCTGTGCAAGTTGGGGCCCAGCCAAGCTAAGGCGGCTGAGGTCAATGACGAGTTCAAAGTTCATCTTGGGCCGTTGCAGTTGAAGCGAGAACTAAAACCGAGCACTCGCTCGGATCTCCGTGGATGTCATGTCATGTCAGTCGGATCGATGGTGGGGAGCGAAGCTGGCCAGGCCACGAGTCGGAATGGCCTCTCATCTCCAGCTTTATCCAGGATGCAATGATCTGACGCCGGCCGTTCCGAACTCGCTTGCATTTGCAGTCTCGTATATTCCTCCCAAGCGTCTTACCATCGCACATGTACATAGTAAAAGACGTGGAGTAAAGGACAAGGCTTCCTGGTCATGGTCATCATCATGATCACCATGCGTTTCCGTTGCGGAGCTCGCTACCCGCGGTTGAGGCCAGGGTCAGCCAACCCGAAGATCGATATCCATCTTGCAACTGATGCTCTGGTGATGAATCTTTCCGCCTGCTGCAGTTCGAATTTCTTGCATGCCCGCGATGGCTGCTTCATGCCTCTCCTCTTTCTCGCTCCTGCAAAAACCATGCTCATGACCACGCCCCATGCTCGCGGTTAGGCAGGCCAGTAAGCCATGTTATGCAGTGATACAGCAGGATTAGCAGCAGCCCTAGCATCAGCCATCAGGTTATCTCTCCAAGCTGCAAATCTAGGCAGCGATTGGTTAGTTCATCTCTTGTCAGTCTCAGAAAGGAAGGAATCTTGTTCAATCTTCGGATCGTTATCAGTTCAGTTCCATTTCATCCGGACTTTCTTGCTAGGCGTCTTGGGCCATGGGCATGGATGGCATGGCGTTTCGCAATGTGAGATGCGAGATTGCGACCCCTTCTCTCACTGTCATCCTGTCAGTGAAGGAAGCTATGTGATTGATCAGAATCAGAATCAGAGACAGCGGCTCTCTCGCGAGAAGCGCGGACAGGGAGGGGTAGCTACCAGAACTTCTAGCGAGAGGGGTTCGTTCAAGTCCATGTGAGACATGGCTGATGGTGATAGCACTTGGAGTGAGCCGAACTCGGAGAGCCGTACTAGGTTCTAGAAATGGTGACTGCTGTTGGTGATGCTGGTGATTGTGAGTCAAGGACTTGCCGGAGTGTAACATGAAGAAATTGATACATATCAAATTCCATGCCAAGCCGGCGATTGATGTGCAGGCAGGGCAGTGGAGGTGGGACGCCATGCCCTGGCTTGCGATACAACATGCCCTATTTAGCGGCCGTCATGCCCTGTAACTCGTCGATTTCAGGAGCATGGCCACACGCCCAAGACGCTGGATGGAAGCGATGGAAGCGAAGGGACCTAGAGGTAGGTGTATTCGTCACAGCAGGTCAAGGGTGGCATGATAGTGTCGCCTTACAAGCCTGGGCTTGAGCCTTGAAGAGCTTCCCTCTGGATCTACACTGCTACAGTATTATCAGCGGTATCGTAGACGGAAGTCCAATCTCTTTGTACACATGCCTCTGCTACAGATGGTGAAATGGGACGTGGATTTCCTGAACGGATCTCGAAACGGTCATTGTTCGGTTCACTCCTCCACCACCAGGAAATGTCAAACTTGGGGAGTAGAATTCCCAACATACCATGTCCTTGTAGGCGGTTTCAGTAGTCAATAAACGGCCAGTTGACGTGTCTCATACAATCCACCAAAAAGGGTCCTCTGTTATCGACCATTGGCCATGTCAAAGGTTGTTCTTACACATTTTTGGTAGTACGAAGTGGGTTGGCGCCCAACTGCTGGGTCTAGAGGAGAAAAAAACAAGAGCCTCTCAAGGGGGTATGTAACAAAGCGCCCGAACGGCAGGCTCCATTGATTCTCTGGGCTCCAGACGGAGACTCTAGCATCGGGCCGTGCGGGGTCCCTCTGGATCTTCCAGACCGGACCCCTTTGGACCTTACCCGGCCGAAGTTGCGTCCCAAGTGGACCTGCAAGTTAGCGCAAAACAGCTTCATGTCGCTAAGTGATCCGTTCTCCGTTGTTGGTAACCAAACGGTCCCATCCCCGGTGGTGGTGATAGAAGTCATGGTGGTGGTCTTGAAATCTGCCTCCGTTGACTGGCGTAGCGCCGGACTTTGGTGTAGAACTATTTCCTCTTGGCAAGACATGGCCTCAAAACGTTGCGTTGGAAATGGGCGAAAAGAAGGCAACCATCCATTCATTTGGATGAACGGTCGAGTTACTTTTCTTGACCAAGCCGCCACCGATGCCGCCAACGACCCTTACCTCTTGCCTAAAAGACTGACGTGCAGCACTTGTCAAAAAAAGTCTTTACATAGTACTCACAATCTTTCGACAAGCGCTGACGGGAATAGGAGGTTACTGTAATGCCCTTGTACATGACCCCCAACAGGAAGGGAGTAGGCGGCATCCTCCATTGCGATTCGTCCAAGACGAGCGAGTTTGACATGTCGCGGGCAATTGGTAGCGTCCGTCTTTTGGTGATGGTGGTGGTGGTGTTTATAGTGGGGCGCACAATGTTGCAACGCCGCGTACGGGTCCGACACCCATAACCGCAAGCACTGCAAAGGCGACTGCACTCTGGAGTCTGGACTTGGAGAAATGACTGATGAACGGACAGTCAGTGCGTGACGGAAAAATAAGGGGAACGGCGGCGACCAAGGCATCGGATACCGCATCCTGAAAGCTGAAAACGACCCTTGACCGAGCGATAGCGGCAAGCGGTGTGCCGTCGACGCCGCTGTCGGAAACAGACATGACGGTCTTGAGCGTGAGATAAGGCAAGTTTCCATCACCTTTGGAATCCTCGACCGACCCCGTGCCCCCTGGGGATAAAGCGGGTCAAGATGCAGAGAGGCGCGTGGTGGGCGTTTTCGTTAACGAACTCGAATCACATCATTATCGACCCAGATGAACAGGGTCGGAATTCTTGAAACTGACCGTCGACCCATCGAAAAGGGGCAGGCAAAACTGTAGATCGCAAGTAACCGCTGCAGGACAACCTGGAAGAAGCTGGGGGCAAGATGGGTCAGGTAAACACCAGTCAGCAGCAACTATCTTCCCCAGATTTCTGCTTGCTGGCCTTTCGTACGGCGACTGGAGGTGGGCTGGCGGCGAGAGAGAAACCTGTTTCCATCCTTGACCCTGATCTTTTTCTGGACGACCTGATGCACAGAGGGTCCCGCATTATCCATCCATGTCGAGTGTTTCCTGTGCCATCCATTAATGGCTTGTGTTTTCCGTGGAGATGAGGTTGGCTGGTTATACCTAGCTATCCCCTCCACAACCCCACAAACTTGCAACTCCCGTCGTTGACCGATCGTCCCGCCCGACGTAATACTGGCGGCGTCGTGTGTGTTGTGTGGTGTTGTGTCGTGTTGTATTGTGTTGTATTGTGTTCGCGCGACTCGCTTACGGCACAGACACAGATGCCGTGAGTATGTCGACTCTGTCCACTGCTTTAGACTCCAGCTTTGCCAAGTTTGAAGGGGTGTCTCGTCTATCGAGACCTCATATCAGCCCGCGGCCGTGTAACGTTGTGCAGCAGGAGCGAGGAGAGCAGCAGTGGCAGCGAGAGAGTAGCAGTAAAAGCCACTTTGCAGGGCAATCGTAACGCTTCGGTCGCGGAGACTGTTACATACCCATCTGTCAGATAGTGACGGATAACGCTCTCTCTGTCTTGTTGCCGTGCTGTGGACTATCACTCAAGGGTGGGGGTGGTGGTGGTGGTGGTTGTTTCGAGCGCTTTCTAGCCCAGCTTCGCCAAGTGTTGGTACCCCCCCTCTTTCTCTGTCTCTCTGGTCCTCGACATCCTTTGCGACACTCAAGATGGGGATGCTAACGGTAACGGCTCGGTCGGTCATTGCTCAAGCCTTCAAAAGGGTCGGGTGTCGGGTGTCGGGTGTCGCGTCGTAACCGGTCGGTCGGTCGGTCGGTCGGGGTGCGGCGTTCACTTGTTGCGTGTGGTGTGGTTTCCTCATCCATTGAATTTGGAGGAATCTGGAGGGAGATCTTCCGAAAAGCTCACAATTGTTGCGTGCGGAGATTTCGCCCTGCGGCGACCGGTGAAAGGGTTGAGCCCTTAGCAGTAGTACGGTAGAGGCAAGTAAGTATTCCGCTGCGCGTCGGTTGCCTCACCGGTCGTGCTTCCCGCGTCTGAGTGTCCCCGTTTGACCACCACAACACTTAAGGGAACCACCACCACCATCGCCCGTGACTGCCCGCCGTGCCTTTGAAGTTGGTACCTACTCACTGGCCAAACACCGTGGGGAAGGAATAGTAACGAACCGACATCACTGCACTGCAATTTCAGTCAGTCCATGTCAAGTTGACGAACGAAAGCATCGGTACTTCATCGCTGCAGTTGCGACGCCGTATGATGATGACACCACCACTACCTCTACCACCACCACCAAATAATATTATCATCACGAAATCAACAACGCCCTCATAGGACCACTGGGGCCTCGGACTTCATGCAAGGCAACCTTTTGAGCAGTGTTTCTGTCCAGTCCATCCTGCTCGCCTCTCATCGTCCCCATACCCCAGACTTTTCCCCAGAGTGTTCATGCTCGCCTCGTCATCATCATCATCATCATCATCACCATCCATACGCACATCTCCCGCCCCCCTGAACTTTCAAGGCTCGGACTGGCTGGACTGAATTGTCGAGGTTCGTTCTCGGTAATCGACTGACTTCGGTTCCTTAAGGCCGCCTACATCACGCTTGGATCATCTTTCCATTGCCCAGTGCCATGGCCGCCACCTCATCTGCGATACGCCCTTTTCGAAAGCCATCTGACGTCCCACGAGAATGTCGTGATCCAATAACCCATAGCAACTCATCTGCCATGATCCGTTTTGTGATGCAGTTGGTCCACAGCCGGGTGAGCACTGCCTAGAGTGCTGTCCCTGAGGCGAAAATTTTCTCGAAACACGCGAGCTTGAAGCAAGACTGAAGTGTCATGACGCCGTGGAACCGACTCGCTGAAGGGCAAGTAATGGAGGCCGATGTAACGGGCAGATAATAGACAGGCTCGAGGGAGGCAACTCCGGCTGGAACGTAGCAACTAAAGTCATGTTGCGCACTTTTGTTCAGCAACTCTGTAAAGACGTCGGAGATACCAAGTTCAGCGGTGTCGATGGCGACAAGTGTCCCTTGGAAGAAGGCGTCTTGGGACACTAAACGCTCATCAACTCGTTTACACTGCCTCGAGGCATCATGTTGGTGATATACGAAGCCAGTTCCTTCCTCTTTGGGAGAATACGGCGAAGCAAAAGTCGCCGCCCGAAGATCGCTGGTGAGGTGAAATGTCGTACCGCAGGCACCACCAACCGGAACCAGACATGTATACAGTGTGCCGTTCCCAGCAGCTTCATCAAGTTCCTCTACTTCACCACACTAGTACATGTACGGATGCTGGCAACAGGACCGTTCTTCCTCTCCCGTTAAGGGCTACATCATGGTGGTATCTAACGGTAGTCAGCAGGTGGTCCGTAAGCTCTCTGTGGTTCTCTCATGAACTTCTAGCAATGACAGAGCGAGGATCGAGTCGCAGTCAGTGGGCGCGTATGCATTGAGCAGGCATACCCAGTCAAACCCAAGCCTCCGACCTGGTGAAGAGGGGAAGAAGAAGAAGAAACACGCATCATGTGTGCTGCCGCCGCTTCCTTCACCCATTCCCCCTATTGAGGCTCCATTTTGAATCTGACGACCGCATGAACTTGCACTCCAAGGGAGAAAGTCACGAGTGAGTTGCCAGCCTGTGAAGTGGTGTGATACTCTTTACCTTCACCACGGTAATTCACCGCCTTTTGCTTTCCTACCTCTACCTGCTTCACACTTTCACCTACCACACCAATATCCGTATCCGGCCTGTGTCGTAAAGCCTGGCTTGACTGGGAGGTAGGGGTAGCTGCGAGCTGGAAGTCGACCAGTCAGCCCGGCTTGCTCTACCTACCTGGCTCGAATAGCCTATGGCGTCTCATTGGATGCTGGGATGAGAAGTTTGCTGAACAGACGAGAGACAGTCGAGAAGCGGCTGGTAGCGAAGAGGGACCAGGACCAGGACAAGCCAGCCAGCCAGCCAGCCAGCCAGTCCACCAGTCAACCAGTCAACCAGGAGCCGAAACCGTCCCATTCCAAATTGAACTGGAAGGTGGTTTCCGGTTGCTCCCATAGGTTGCTAGCAGGATGGAAGCAAAAGCGACTTTTGGCCAACAATTGCTCACCTTGCGGTAACACTGTCTGCGGCAGTGCTGACCTCCCTTGGCCTTGACCGATGTAGTTCAACAGACGCTGTGCCGTCTTTGCAAACGGCGGGCGGCGTGGGAGAGAGGGTGGGAGGACAAGCGTGGGGTTGGGAAGGATTGAGCGTGACCATGGCAATTGGCTCAAACCTGGAACGTTGTCGATATTTTTCCAACATTGGCATATCGTCGTTCAATGTTGGAACGGGCATGGTATTTTTGGACAGTCCGTCCTCCCTGTCAGCATCAAGATCCTACCCATCCAATGGAACGAAAGTTGGGAAAACCCCACGCCGAACCATTCAACAACTCGACCCAGAAGTAGAGAAGCTCGTAGTCGCGGTGATTGCCGTCTTCCGTCTTCCAATGGAATATGTACTTCGTCATATACACTGCCAGCTGCCGTCTCCTCCTTTCTGCTGGATCAGTGAAGATCACCTGGTCTGGAACGCCTGCGAACCTGCACCAAGCCACAACCACCACTTTTTCTCCAACTTTTGATATGCACATTCGATCGAGATTCGCGAGCACAAACCGCGGGGTGACCCCACGCTTTTTTCTATTTCTTCTTCTTTACTGATCAGGGGACGAATTGTGTATCGAATTGATGTATATCAAATGAGGATCTCACCCGATCATGGTCATTCGGAATTCCCCTCGACATGGAGGTTGCTGGTGTGTAGGTAGCTATCAGTCGATGTTTCTAGTGTAAGCGGAGTCGGGCAACACATCCAAATAACCGATCCAATTGATAAGCGTTGACCTTGAGATAAGGTTTGGCAGTCTGGTTGATCAAAAGCGGGAGATCAACTGGCGAGACGGATCTCCTACACTAAAGACTGAAGTAATGTCGGCAGCTGCCAATCTTGTCGACCCGAGCAGCTTGGCGGCTGGCGGCTGAGAAAGCGAGGTGATCTTGACCGTCAGACTGTCCAACCGTTCACCGTCGCAGCGTGAACGGTGAGACAGTGCTCATAAACTGTACGTATCATCGACGCCGTCTCTATCAATGTTCATTTTGACAGCCTTCCCTCGTCGTGGTCGTGGACACACTGTCCATCTTCACCTTGATTCACCTTGACTGTGGTGGACTCGATAAAGTCCGGCCACGATCAGGGGGCTTATGGCATGCCACTCTTCCCAGTCTTTTTGTTCTGACGACTGGTTCGACGGCGACCACCACAGCAACTCCGTCGCAGCAAGCAACAAGCCCGTCTGGAGAAAAAAAAGAGGAGAAAGGAGGAATGTGAGCAAATATGATTGGGCAGCCGCGGCCTTTTCATGGCTTCTCATTGGCTATTGGGTTTTTTTCGAAGCCACACACAAAAAATGGTCTGTCTGACTGTCGATCAACACAAAGGAAATTTGCTTGATGAAAAAACCGGAGGTTCTTTCCCAGACTCTTTCCATCCGGCCACCGTGCCGCCCGGCTACCGTATCAAGCCTATCTCTCTTTCCGACGGAGTTTTCAAGACTTTGTCTCCAGCCCGACAGCTTGAGTACTACTATGTACGCAGTGAGCTGGCAATAAAAAGAGAGTCAGATAGTATTATGAACACTTTTCAATATCGGGATGAACTGAAAAACACGAGAGGATCAGCAACTTCAAAGAAGCTGGAGTGGTTCGAGTTCCAAAACCACACCACTCGCGACAAAATCCACCGCTATTAGATAATCACCCACTGCAGTCAAGGGCGGAAGGGGATGCACAGCAGGGACCGGGCCTGAGAGAGGAACCGCTTTTTCCTGCAGTCACTTTTTGGGGCCCAGGCCGCTTGGCACGACTGCTTGGCAAGGAACAGCGGAGAGAGTGGGGTACTGTAGCTCTTAGCGCTCTTTTGTCTTTCTCCACACTCCCTGAGCCCCCCGCCTGCCTGCCGCTAGAACCCGACCTAGCCAATGGATAGCATGTGGAGCCCTGCTTATCTCCGCTGGCCTGCGCTAGCCTTCTTTCGTTACCTTATCTTTGGTCTCTCTTTCTTTCTTTCCTAATCCCAGTCAGTGCTAGCGGCTGAGCCATTGCCAATCCACAAGGGTCAGGCCAACCATCCCGGACGTGCCACGATTGCTCACCAAAAACGCCGATTGCAAGGTCAGCTTTGAAACATAGCCCTACGTCATTACACTCCAAATGGTGACCTCTTGGAGAAGCAAAGGAAAAAAAGTTGGAGATGCTGCGCGCCGGGATATGCACTCTCCGAGCTGTCGGCTGCGAGGACAACAAGCACTGGATGAAAACGAAAGAGACAGCTTGAAGATCAAAATGTCCAATGCTCGCTCCTCAACGTACAGACAGCCAAAGAAAGGAGAGCTCTTCAATCTCCAACAAGGCCGCCAAAGGGACAACAACAAACAACATGGACTCCACCAAGTCCTAATTTGGCTCAACTCGTGGTCACGCCATGTTCCCAGGTCCAAACTGAATCCAGGAACACGAAGCCAGGAACGAGCCAATACCGTGCCGGCGAAAGAAGACATGCTGGAATTAGCCAGGAACAGGAAATACCTTTCACCGAGTTAGATCTCTTAGAAACAATCGAGCGATCCAGATTGGCATCATGTGTGGATATGCCTTCATTTCTCTGCTTGGTCATAGGATGTAGTGTATGTAGGATGGAATGCGGTATGAGGCTGAGATTGCTAAAAACAAAACAACAAAAAAAATCACAGTGCCGTGGAGACCGACAATCAGGAAAGTGCTGATCGATTGCCATGCGAACCACCAGCAACGTGAATCGGCAATACATTTCGTCAAAACGGTGGTGAGATGAGTTGTCAACAAGAGTCTGTCATTTTTTTGTTTCTTTTTTTATTAGTTTTTTCAAGTCGTGCCGCCCGCATTTCCAACCCCGGAATGCCGAACCACTCAGAACGGTTGTGAGAGAAAATCCTTCATCACAAACGACATTGCATTGCATTTTGCGGGGAACTCACTTTCCTTTTATTCATATATGTACGCCGGCCGGGGGGTGGGTGTTTTGGTTTGCGGAATCGCGGGGTCGGACTTGTTCACGGCGTTTTTATGGGTCCGGGAGCCGCCCGTCCCGTCTTCCCGCAGAGTCGTGTACCCCGGCCTTGGCCGCCGCCCCCGCATGTCCACGCCGTTGGGCCGCAAATTGCAACCCCGTCTGGCCCCCGCGCTTCCCCCGGTCTGTCCCCGATGTTGCTGGCGAGGCTCGCGCCGGCCACAAGTCGGCCAGACTGTGGACACGGTCGTTTGGGTTGGTACATGGTAACCTGAAATTGTCAGACGTGCATGTCCAAGAGATACCGCCTGCCGCATCCGTATATTTGCTCCGACGGACTCCCCCCCAGAGTCCCGGTCCCTTTCGGCGCACACCACAGCGTGTCTCCATCAAGCCGCCGACTTCTCACCGATGCCAGCATCATCCACAATGCCGGTATAAAACGCGGGGCCACACGGGGTTTTCCCCGGAGTCTTGATCCGGGGGTCCGGGGTAAGACCGGCCAGGCGGGGAACCGCGGGGTACAGCTGCGATGCCGGTACATAAGCGACCGATGTTCCTCGCTTTGCACTCGGAACTCCATTGTGCGCAACTATGCAAGGACTTTTTCACACAACAACAACAACAAAAGTGACACAACCCGGTCCGCCGATGTCAGATATTAACGCCGGTACTACTACTATCGTGAACCGGGCGCATCCGTCACAGTTAGTCACAGTAAGCTCAGGTACGAACAATGCAGTGACCAACCGTGAGTAACCGTCGCCGCCGCTATCAAAACGGAAGACTTCTTCAAGTCTCCTAGTTCTCTTCATGCTCTTTTTTTCTCTTCCAGCTTCGTCTTCTCCAATGCCGTACAGTAGTAGCATTTCATATTAGTTTTTCAATAGTTTCTACCAGTTCAGCAGCGGGAGTCCACTCTTACAGCCCGCGGAGCTATAATTATTTAACCCGGGACGGGGTATTCGTAAGGACATTAGCATCGGTATCAGCTTCTTTCTTTATATCTCCGGCGAGGTAAAGCTCCGGCCGGCGGCTCCCTTACCGGGTTAGGCGCGGGGCGGGGTGGCTTGCTGGTGCGCGGCATGTTCCGTCGTGCCCGAGTGGGATGGATGAGCCTGGACTCGAATCCTGGAGAGCATAAATCGCGCGCCTAACATCCAGGAATGTCTACCCCTAGTGAATGGCTTTCCTCCGTTGGATCGAGAAATGGCGAGGGGAATACTATGATTCAGGTGAATGTTATGCGATTGATGTGGTTTTGTGCAATACCCGTGGGTATGAAGTTAACTTTGATGTTTGGTCGGTAAGTACTGGCCAAGCTACCCCTACCTACTCTGTGCCCCGCGGGCAACCCTCTCGCGGATGTACAGTACCATCGATCTCGAACTTACCGGATGACCATCTTTCAAACCATTTATGACCTATCTAACACTGAGGCCCCTTTTCTCCCGCTAAACGTTTGATTGTGAAACTCAAATTCAGGTGATGAACTTTAAAGTCCATCAACAAACACTAACAAAAGTCGCTAAGGCAACCATTCATACCCCCGGAACCATCATCCCTGCTTCGGCTATTATTGGTCCAACGTTGAATCCCGTTGTAGCACAAGGTATTGCCGCCCGTTGCCGGCCGCACTAACACACATAGTCGCCGCGCTTAAGACGAATTCGGTGACAGCTCCCGACTCCAAGCAGATGAACGAAACAAACACCAAATTTGGCCAACCCCCCTACCCATCTTTCATTCCAGTACCTAAGCCCCCCCAGCCTGAACGTTGGAAGAATTTCTCCCCAAGACTTGCATGAAGAGAGACCAGGACAGGGATTGCAAACTATTGATAACTGCAGGGTACCTATGTAAATCCTGTTGGTGATGAGTCGTCGTCGTCGTCGTCGCTGGCACGATGGTCAGTTACCTAGGCACTTCGCCTGGGCAAAGTCGGTAGTTACGAATGGTGCAAGCCCGATTTCCTTGACATAACATCTTGGGGCTTAGCATCGTTTCGTTCCACCCGGCCATGAATTGCAAGTGCAATAACCGCCTCAAACAGGCCACTCCACTGCACTCACACCAGGCGACGGCGGGGGAATGAGAACTGACTGACTCTTGCCTGCCGGCTCAATCACCCAGAATTGTCAGCGCAGTCCATCCCCTCCTCACGCCTAGCTTGATGAGTGGCACGCAACTTCCAATCCCAAGCCTTGTCGTCGACAACAACGCTGTTGACTGGCTGGCTCACACCT